ATCAACCAATTAATCCGCAAAATAACTTTGGGTCATGAATCCTTAACATGATCAGGGATTGGTAATAATTCCAAAACTATTCTAATGTTGTGATCAATGTGTTGCAAATTTCCTTGGTTACTAGCACCAAAAAAAAAAAAAAAAAGCAAAGAAATGAGATATGTGGTGGTGGCTCACAAAGCAAACCATGTCTAGGCCTAGGAGAGGACCAAACCAACCAAAGAAAATGCAGACAGGATCCATGGCAATGACCAAAACAAGCATTGCTTCTCGATTTGGAGAGCATTTGATTCATTTCTCCTAATAATTTGAATAAAATATGTATATGCATGTTAGTTTTGATAATTAGTAAGTACAAATTAGGGACAATAGTTTCCAAACATTTTAGGTAAGAATTCAATCGATATAATAACAAAATTCACCAATAATTAGGCGAATTAGACAAAAACCAATAAGATAAGAAGTCCACTAACAAAGTGGAAGTTGTTGTCCTCTGTCCAACATTAGGAGTGTTCATAATTCGATTTTAACTAATCGAACTAATTTAATTTGGTTAATCAGTCGGTCACTGAATTAAATTCAATTAATTATCAAAGATAATTTTAAAAAAATTTTGATTTTTGGTTAATTTGATTTGAAAATCGAATTAATTGAAATAACTAAAATTTTAATCAAAATATAATTAAACCTATATATATATAATTAAAAATATATGAAATTATCCATTTAATTTCGAGTTATCAAAGGTTTTAACTTAATACTTTGGTATTTGAATATTTCTGTTGAATGATTTTATTTAATTTATCTTAAATATAAGAACATAATAATTTAAAATTTAATATGTTTTATTATTCGATTAACCGAAAAAAATGAACCGAATTTATTGAATTAATTTTGATTGGTCAATTTTTTAAATTAAAAAAATTTATTTGATTAACAAAAATAAAATAACATAATTTGATTAATTTAATTTTAAATAATTTGATTCGAAATTAATCGAACCGGTTGAATATACAACCCTATCCAACATTGCTTTGCTGTTTGTAAATTTTCTCATTAATCAAAGGTAAGGGTTAATTCATGAACGGGTTGGTTGGATTGCTTAAGTTATAAGGTTTACGCTTCATTTCTGCTACAAGTAATTTTTTTTATTGACTATATGTAAATTCAATTTAAATCCTTATTAAAACTTTAATGAAATAGCCTTTTCCAACCTAAACTTTTAAATAAAAAAAAAAGGCGAGGGTTAATTCTAGGCATGAGTCTTAATTCCACTAACCAACTTTATTAGTTAGTGTTTATATTTATTTATATATTGCTGAAAATTAGACAAGTTGAAAAAGGTGATACTTTTTGAGAATTACATAAAATAATAATTATTTTATGATAATTAAAAACTCTACATAATAAAGAATAATTAAGCAAAAGTTTGTATGATTTGTTTAGTAAAGTTGTGGGTGTGTTTTTGCTTGCTTAATTAAATAATAATTACCAAATGATTAAGGTTTCATTTGGATGGACGGTGAAATTAAAAATAATAATAAAAATTATTATAATTACGATTAAAAAAATAAAATATTATAGCTGGGATTAAAAAAAATTATAAAAATAATTGTAGCTGCGATTAAAAAAATTACTATAATTGTGATTGAAAAGAAATTTAATGAAAAATTTATGTTGACTTGACCTTCATGAAATTAATATTTAGATTCAACTGATGGTGCAGTGAACTTAATCACATTACGTTGAAAGAGCGGTGAAATCTAAACGAGAACTAAGAACAACATAACAATAATTAATTCCAAAATGATTTCTCTACAATTTTTTAACCAAAATGTCCAATAATTCCAATTGAAATCTTAGTCCCTTTAGATGGCAACGTAAGAAATGACGACCATACAGATTTCTCTAATGGGCATTCAGTATTTGCATTGCATTGCCTGATTTTGGACTCGGACTATAAATCTTAAAAAGGAAAAATGAAACAAGATTTATAAGGTATATAGAAAATCAACTCAATTCTACGGTTCGAAATCGTATTATTTGATGTAAAAAAAATTGTAAATATTAAAAATTATTGAATGTAATTTTTTAAAAAATTATTATATAAATCAAGTGTAAAGCTACACTCAGCATTCTTATTTCTTAGTGGTGAGAATGGATATGACAAGTATACTCTTCAACAATTCTATGTGGAAAAAACCATTTATAGTGGTGAACAATTTGTAATTATTAATTAGGTAAAATCTTTCCTTATTCATATGGCTAATCAAGGGTGTTTAAGGGTTTTTTGTGATTCTAAAGGTAGTATGATTTTTTTTTTAAAGAAAATAACTTATCAATAAAGTAAATATAATTTTATCATTTTAATTTGAGTTGATATGATAGGTTGACCTAAATTTTTAGAGTCCACATCAGGTCTTTGATCTTTTACTAGAAGATACATAAGAATCTTAATTTGCCACCTCTTAATTAGATTGTCACCAAATTAAATCGAGTCAATACTATCAACTCTAGATTCAACTTTTAGATTTAAGGTATTTTAAATTCGAAATTCTCATCTTATAGATATAAGTAACTCTCTTCATACCAAATATGGACATTCAATTTTTATTCTCTCTTTTCAAAATTTCTCTCATTTTTTCTCTTCTCGAACACTAACTTGAACATCGAAACATAAGCACCAAAGAATCCTTTAGCCTTAGCTTCTAACCGAGTTTTGATCTTATAATTTTAGGTTTTTGGTCTCGTCAAGATTGCTCGACACAAATAAAAGGTAATTCAATGTTAATAATTAATGTAAAAAATTACTTTCGTGTGTGTATATATATATATATATTATTAAATTAAAGTGGAGAGGTATACATATGTTGTGCTTTACTCATTATAAAATGCAAGGGCAACTAGTTTAATTTTTTTCTCAATAATTTTAGGTAAGAAAAATTTCCATTCCGGGTGAAATCTTGTTTTCCAAAACATTGAAAAATTTTAATTCTTTAATTTTTTTTAAATTTTTAATAAAAACGAAACACTTATTAATCTATGCGAATTTTGTATGAAAAAAAAACACTTACTATAAAAAATTCAAACTATTTTGAATTTTTTACACTTATTGATTTATGTGATAGCTTCTCTTAATCCATCCATTAATAATTGTTACTTGACCATGTATCGTAAAAAAAAAAAAATTATCCTAAGAATTTGACTCAAGAAATTTTATTTAAATTTTGTGTAATTTGCTTTTTTTTTTTTGTTAGCATTTAAAATCCTAATTATTGTAATTTATTTTTTGCACGACAAGTTGGATGGTATAGAAATTATATTGACCATTTAGGAAGAAGAAATAATTAGTCAACTAATTCTTTAGAGGAAGAAAAAGGAAGTTCTTTAGCATTATAGAAAAGAAGTTCTTTAGCATTATTATTTGACCCAAAAAAATTGATGGCCATTTTAGATGGACAGCTTTAGAGTGGTAGAGAAATCAGATTGCCAATAATTATAGTACCACTGAATACTAGAAGATAACAACCAGAAACCAATATGTGCTCCCTATTTGTGTTGAATTCTGTACCAACCAGTGGTTTCATGCTAGACCTGTCAATTCTGTTTTCGTGTCACATCTTTATCATATTCGACACAGATATAAATTATTAAAAAATATATATAATATCAATTATAAAATATATTTAAATTTTAAATACGAATATAATACATTTAAAATATATGTTATATGTAATATGACATTAATAATACGTATATAATTAATTTATTTAAATATAATATAAATAAACACGAATAATATAAATATATATGAATTGATATGATTAATACGAATATACACAGATAAACATAACTAATATGAATATATACAAAAGTACAATTAAAATAATAAATAACTATAAATTATTTATTATTTATATAATTAATATAATATAAAAAATATTTACATTTTAAAAAATAAAAAAATTTAATACTCATTTAATGTATATTTAAATTTCAATTTATATTACATAATTATATTAATTTTTAGTATCAAATTCAAAATGATAAATCATTAAAGATTAAAGATAAAATAATAATGTATAGGACTAATATTAATATTTATATTGTATTTATATTATTAATATAAAAAATAATTTTATAATAATTGTTAAATGAGTATCATAATTAAATGTTTAAAATAATTCATTTATAATATTCAATAGTTAATTAAGTATCATAATTAAAAAATTAAAAATTAAAATAATCTTTATCTGTTTATATTAAATTAAAATAAATATAAAAATATGTTAAGTGTATTAAATATATTCAAACTATAGTCATATGACAAGATTAAATATATTATTCATATTGTATCACATATTTAGATTAATTAACATATATATGCACAAATAGTGTCGTGTCAAAATTTGTGTCGACACGAATAAATATAAAATACTTTTTTTAAAATATGTTTTTATGTCATTTTTATTTCATGTTATTGTATCATATTTAAAATTATTAAATCTATACAAATATATTTGAACCTTATCCATTTATTTTATATATATATATAATGGTTACGATGTTTTTACTGGGAAAAGAGAAAGAGAGAGAAAGGGTGGAAATCATATTGGAATTTGGAACACTACCAATCCCATGCTAAAAATTTGTTTAAATTAGGTATGGGAAATGCAAAATTTTTTATCAGTAATAACATAATAATTGTCCACCAACTTAGTGGAAAAACTCACTTTGCATTGTTTTTTGTCTCCCCATTGTTGATCAAACCTTACCAAGGAACCTTCAATTCAATTTGTTTATTTTGCATTTAATATATAAAATATAAAAATTATTATATTATAATTTATATTATACGTTAAATATAAAATATTTTTTTATCAAATTTATATATAAATTTTGTTAAAATTTTGAACAAGACATTTTCGTATCTCACTCATGTTTAAGTTACTAAATTTACCCCCACTCACCTCACCTCACTGCCAAGGATATATATCGTCCTCAATTTCTCCAAATCCCACCCAAAGAAGAGAAAAAGAAAGACACCCCCACTACTACTGGCTAGCCTAGCTAGAGATATGGCTGCTGAGGAAAGCAGTGCTACCTGGGATCTTCACCCTGCCAACACTACTTCTTGGCTCCATCATCATCAAAACCCTACCAACTCTGCTTCTAATTGTGATCAGGATGACGTGTCAACATCTACAAATTCCTTGGCTAATGCTTCCAACCATTCAGGGTTAACTCTTGACTCATCCGCCCGCGGCCGCCATGTTGATCGACCAGCTGTTGTTCCTCCTCCGTCCAGTGACTTGATTGGAGAACATGCTTCGGATAACGATCATCTTTGGAGCCATGTTTTATCGTAAGTTTTGTTTTTGTTTACAACTTGCACCATGTGGACATAAAAAAAAAGAGCCAATTTTATATAAGTAAGAAGATAATCTTTTATCAAAACAAAATTAAAACCAGAAGCCTGCTCACCAGGGGTAGCCTCCAGCCTCATATAAATAAATAAATAAATTTATTTTTTTATTTATTTATATTTATAGGTGAAAATGAGAGGAAGTTTCTTTTGTTTTGGCAGAAGCGTGCGAAGCAACGGAGACTTACGCAACGGTCCAGATGTTGGAGAGACCCTGTTTGAGGTAATATCCTCCAAGAGCACCTCAGCTGGAATCTTTGAATCCTGTTGTGACTACTTGAAGAAAATTGATGGCAATTGGGAATTCCCAGATTCTTCACTTTTTAACAATTTTATCAAAAATTTAAATGGATACGACACGAGTACTGATCATGATGATCATCAGAGTTCAATCGAAAGTGATCAAAGGTTAACCAAGTTGTCCAACTTGGTCAGCAACTGGTCCATTGCTCCGCCAGACCCCCAAGCCAATCCCCAATTCAATGCAAAATCATGTCATGATGATCATATCTCTTTGACTTCTAATCCAGTGGAAAACTACTCTCAGCGGCTGCCTGTGTTTTCTGGAATGGCAACAACCAAAAACCCAGTTTTCGTATCCTGTTACGGTGGTGGTAATCATCATCATGATTTGAAAATGGAGACTCTACGTCTTGATATGGAAGCTCCAACTTCCTATTTTCGAAGGGCTTTCAAGGGTACTAAAAGCAATGGGTATCAACATCATCATCATAATAGTCTTATTAACAATTCAATATCAACGGAAGCTGACAGCTTTTATGGATCAATGTCTCATAATACTCCATGCACAAGTACCATAACTTACAGCCGATTAAGCAAGCCTTTGGTTGATCATATACATCCATCAAAGCCCACTTTTAGGCCATTGAATTTATCAGATTGCAAGAAACAAGGACTCCAAGCTGCAAATTCTCTGCAGGTAATTAATATATTATTATATCACCATATCAGACATGAAAAATTTTCTTCTTTTTTCCTTTTCATGTGAAAACTTTTGTGTATAAAATTAACCATTTAGAATAAACAATTACAGACGAGAAACAGCAATGGAAGAACCCAATGGATTACAGACGAGGGAAAGAAGAAAAGAGATGAAGAAACTTCTGACAGTAGTAGAGTGTCGAAAAAGCCTAAGCATGAAAATTCCACAGCTTCATCTGCAAAGGTACATTAATTATACAATAATATATATAAAAAAATTTCATTACGAAACAGAAAATAATTAGAAAAAAGTAGTCATAGTGCTTATAATTACTGGCGAGAAATTGACTTAATTTGATTATTAGATGCACGCCCCAAAAGTGAAGCTAGGAGACAGGATCACAGCACTTCAACAAATTGTGTCGCCATTTGGAAAGGTAGAGAGACACCACTAAGAATAAGTTTGTTTTCTAGTGAACCTAACTACGGATTATAATTATGTAATTTGATCCAAATTTGTTGGCCGATTTTCAGACTGATACGGCTTCTGTTCTACTAGAAGCAATTGGATACATCAATTTTCTACAACAGCAAGTGCAGGTGATCAAAAGTTGCTCAAAATCTTTCGTTTCTTTTTAAATCTTGAATAGTACATGGAAAGGAATCATTAACTAAAACAAGATCTCATTGTTATTATTATAGTAATTGAAATCATAGTAAATCAAAACATATCATTGTCGAATGTAGAATTTAATTTAATTAATTAATATTTAAAGTTAAAATCTTAACATCTGTAATTTTTTACTCAATATATTCTCATATTACGAGTTCTTTTATAAAAAAAATATAATTCTGCTAAAAATAATAACAAATTTACATTAACATTATATACATATTTCTGATTAAAGGTTTTAATTTGTTTGCATTCTTTTCAGTTATTGAGTAATCTTTACATGAAGCCCAACTCTCATAAGGTAATAAAGCACACTTTATAGAGTTATTATCTCACATCATTAAATCTGACATATATATATTTATGCTCTCAACAAATAAATATAGAAATGAATCTGAAATTAAGGTTATATATTAATTAATTATGTTGGTGCTGTTCATATATCCTAGGATCCATGGGGAAGCTTGGATAGAAAAGATCATCAGAAAGGAGATAAGAAGGTTGCACTACGGAGCAGAGGTCTATGTTTAGTTCCAATTTCTTGTACCCCACAAGCCTACCATGAAAGCACTGGTTCAGATTACTGGACCCCGACTTATAAAGGATGCCTGCATAGGTGATCAACAAGCCTCATGCTTTCACATATATCATATTTTTAAAAACACAATAACTTAATTAGACAATTGGAATTGTCAGTCAGTGTTAAGTATTTCTTCTAAAATTGCATCTTATTCAGTAAAGTGTTTTGTTTTAAAGTACAATGGACTCAATTCAATCAACCTGTCTTTTTTTTTTTTTAATTAACATGGTATTTGAAGGCGAATAATTACAAAAAAAAAAAATCATAATTTTAAAATAAAAAAATAATAAAAATTTAAATTTAAATTTTAAATCTAATAATTATCATTAAAGATGATTGTGTAAATCAATTGAATTAAATAATGAATTCAATCAAACCCTAAATCTTGGACGCATGCAAGTTCATTATAATTTTTAAAACCTTTTGATATAGTCAAATTCGTTGAGACTTACTTTCATTATAATAAATTCATGCGAATCATTTTAATAGGTTTGATTTATTGAAAAGCTTTATTTAAAAATTTTAAGAATATTTTGCATGTTTATATAATTTGAACAAAATTCTTCTCTCAAAATGATCATTGCTTCTGATCATCATGAACCATAAGGAGGTTCACTCCTTTCATTTTGTCAAATTATGTGTGTAATTTCATGTGACTAAATATAGTAATTAATATTTTTCGGTTGAAAACTTCTACTTACAAACGCATTTCAAAATCAATTGAAAAAAGATTAAGTTTCAAAATGGGCAATTAGGTATCATCAAAACCTATTTCCATAATAATTTTACTAAATATTTATTATTTTTCACCACTAAAGTGTAAGTATTTTAACGCTAATCATGTTAAATAAAAAAATTCAAAAATTATAAGCAATTTGAAGTCAAAGGTTAGATTTTGATAATAAAAAAATATTTTTTATACATAAAAAAAAATCGTAATCTGAAAATATTTTATAAACACGTGTAGTATCATCCTTGTCGGGTTTTACAGACCCAAACGAAGAGTTATTCTACTTCTACATAGATATTCACACCGCTCTACTTATCTAGCGCCGTGTCCAAACAAGAGAGATTAAGAGTTTAATAGTTTGTACACGTGTCCAAAGGCTAAGATTATTTTGTACACGTGTCAAGTTTTATTTGGCACACGTATGTTTTAAGACTGACGTAGAAGAGAAAAACAGTTTGACAGTCTCTTAAGCATCTTTCCCCGGTCAAACAGAGAAGGTTTTGACTACAACTCAGAAGCGATACAGAAAAAAAAATCTTTCTATTTTTTATGTTTAAATTTTGAATCTTTCCTTAAGAAATTTAATAAACAGTTTAATTTTAAATTTAGTGAGATCAGTTTGATTTAATTAATCCGTAAAATAAAAATAATTTGCCTAAATATTAAAAAAAAATTGTCTGAGACGGGTATCCAAGGCTCATTATCCAGAAAATGGAATATATTTGGAAATGTTAAATTTTTATAATTAATTTTTGTCACTTTCTTGTGATTGGCATCCAAGGTCCGCAAACTGAAACTCACAGCATAATTATTAAAAATTGCTTCGACTTTTTTTTTTTTTTTTGAGTTACTATGGCTTTGCTTTTCTTTTTACTAGCAATGGCGGACCCCTGATAGCTTTGCTTTTTTTTCTTTTTTTTTTTGAGTTTGATTGGTTTTCATTTTCATGGATTACCAAAGAATCCAAAAGCCTCAGGTACTCACGCTTTACACAAATTTTTTTTTTTAATTTTGGCTTTCTCTTCTCCCAATGCTTTGTTTCTTTGCTAATATTGAGAAAGTAAGAAAGGGCGATTTCAATTTCGAATTTTCATTTGCTGGCGTCTCAAAAAAATCAACCTTTTATCCATCATTCAAATCCAAAATGCGTAGGGCGGAGGTGGATTTTCGCCTGCCAAGCTGAGGACTATGCTGTTAGGAGTAGAAAATAAAAGAAAACAAGAACAAGAAGTTGAATCTTCAATAGCTTTAAGATCTCAACTTTCTCGCCTTGATGATATAGGTATCTTTTCATTTTATTTATTTTCTCAATATTTTTGTTGGGTCTTTTTTTTAATTGTTCCTTGTCTTGAAGATAGTTGCAAAGATGTAGATGTGGTGACTGAGCAGAATGCTGTTGAGCATAGGTTAAAGGATCATCTTGGTTCAGATTATGATAGTGGACATGATAATATGAGTGTGTCCTCATCGATCTTTGAGTTTCAGAAGGCTGAACGGGCACCACAAAGAGTTCCTATTGGGCCATTTTCTAAACCGGCGCCATCCAAATGGGATGATGCTCAGAAATGGATAGCTAACCCTACTGCGAATCGGCCAAAGACAGGGCAGGGTGGGCAAGGGGTGGGATCAAGAAAAGGTGGTAATTTTGGCTATGGGAGACAATCATCTACTAAGGTGGTTGTTGAAGTTCCTGATCAAAGGATGGTCGCTTTTGAAGAACCGGATACAAAACGGATTGATATGAATCATGCCAAGAAGGATAATGGGTTGCAGAAGTTAGTAAATTGGGAGATTGATCCATATCCAATTGTGGATACATATGGGAAGCCTGTACTGATGATTGAGAACTCTGTTGCGGAGTCAGCTGGTAAGGGTTCATTTTATGTTGAAATTAGTTTATGCTTAGTTACATTTGCACTTAAATGCTTCGGATTGAAGGATTAGCACTTATATCCTTAAGTGGCATCTCCATTCATGCTTTTAATTGGAGAATTAGCCTCTCCTGGGCACAAATATGTGTAATTTTGCTGGCACAAGTCTCAGCCCTGACCCTATTAATGCCCATACTTAGCTTAAAAGGATTAGCAAGCCATTTTGCCATTTTTTGGTTTCACTGAGAAAGGTGGATCCAAAATATGATTTACTGCCTTTCTACCAACTGGAGATTTGTTGCTTTTCCAAGTAGTTTAGGGAGTGGAAGGCCTTTTAGATCTTTAATCCGTATATTTTTAAAGCTGCAAGCAGCTCCGGACAATGGGGAAACATGTAAATTTTTACACAAACAGCAGATCTGGTGAACTTACTGTTGTGTTGTCTGAATTAAGTGCCTAAACTTAAATGCTGGTCTATATGTGTTTAGTTATTTCTAAAAATATCTCTACTTCTATACGTAGGTTGTGTCTTACATGAAGCTTCAGTAGTAATTTTGCAATGTACTAATTAAGAAATTTGTTGATTTTTTTGCAGTTAGTCTTAGCCAGCATGATTCATCAATGTCTATACATAGTGCTACAACATTTATTCCTCCTCCTTCAACAGCTAGATCAGTATCCATGAGAGATATGGGAACAGAAATGACTCCAATTGCTAGCCAAGAACCGTCAAGGACAGGAACTCCTGTGCGGTCAACAACACCAATTCGCAGTCCAAATTCATCCAGGCCATCAACTCCCAGAAGAGCGGTGCCATCTCCAGCAAATCCACCTTATGAGCATGTAGATCTGAACATGGAGTTGTCGGAGAAGGAGCCACAAATGAAAACAAGAAGAGAAATTATGGTTCTTGGGGCCCAGTTGGGTAAAACAAACATAGCTGCATGGGTTAGCAAAGAGGAGGATAAGGATGCATCCACTTCACTGAAAACTGTAGCACCAGAACAACCAGCTAAAAGTGTCATTGAAACCCGTGCAGCAGCATGGGAGGAGGCAGAGAAAGCTAAGTATACGGCCAGGTATTTTCTTTCTAAGAAACTTTGAAAGCCTCTGTTGATATTTTTTTCCCCTTATTTTGAATCTTTTTGGTTATTTTATGGAGCATAAACATTGATCCTAAGCATATAACTTACCATTGCACATGGTCATGGTTTATGGTTTTCAATGAGAAAACTTGCATGGCATTGATCTGTTAATATGCCTAGGTTTTAAACAACACTATAAGTCACAAATCACAAAGCCTTTTTTTAGCAACTTTTATGTATTAAAAATGCTACTGAACTTTTTTATAATAGCTTTTCACATATTGCCATCTGGAAGTATGAGCAATATGATATATTTAGTTTATCTGAAGGAATTAGTGATGTTATGTGTTTACATTTGATGCATGGACTTGGAAAGAGAATATAGCATCCGCAGATGCATCTTGTAAGATTTTTATGGAATAATTTTCTCATGTTTTTGGAATATGGCACTTGGTTGTCAGGGTAATTGATATGTATAGAAAAATATGCATAACACTTATGCACTGGTAGTTTTTAGTTAACACTCCATCTGCAACTTAAAGTGTAAAGTTATGAGGCAATCATCCAGGTTCAAACGTGAAGAAATGAAAATTCAAGCATGGGAGAACCATCAAAAAGCAAAAACTGAAGCTGAGATCAGGAAAATTGAGGTATTATCTAGCATCTTCCAATATACATTTTACTTTGTTGTCACTCTGTTGTTTCTGGTATTGCCTAAATTGCAAATCCCATACATTCCTTGCAGATAGTTTTCTTGAATTCTCATTGTAATCACAAGGAAAAGTTACAAACAAGAAGTGTTAATTGACTTCTGGTAGTTGTGATTATGCAAATGGCAGAGTTGAAAGAACATTCAGGGGAGATAGTATGGATTCAAACAATGAGCATTAATTAAGGTAGAAAATAGGCATTCTGTGGACCAGGCAGCTTACTATTCAAGCTCAGCTTGGTGACTCTGTTAGCTTAAGTTCAAGTCAATCGACTCATACCGTCATACGTTGCACGACCAGATTGAGATCAGCTCATACTTTTTTTGCCAAGCTCCTAATCTTGGGCAACTGATTATCCTCAATATCCTCATACCAGTCTTTTTTTAGTATAGATGTATATGACTAGCATAGTAAAGTACAACTGATCCGTGAGTATAGGAAACTGAAAAGTAGCTGCCAGTAGACTTAATGTCCTTTTTACCTCTATTAAATTTTTGCAAATGAATGTCATTGCTGCCTAGCTTTTATGTGGAGGTTTAACAAATCTAGTAATTTGCTGTTGCTACCTCACACATTTTTTAAGACGCTAGTTACAAAGTTCTGTTGTTAATAACTAGATATAAATTCATACACAGACTGCATGGTTTGTGGTTTTCAGGTTGAGGTTGAAAGGATGAGGGGGCATGCTCATGATAAGCTCATGAATAAACTAGCCGCTGCGAGGCACAAGGCAGAAGAGAAGCATGCAGCAGCAGAAGCCAAGAGAAACCGACAAGCTGCCAAAACCGAGCATCAAGCAGAATATGTTCGAAGAACTGGCCGCATCCCCTATTTTCCCTGCTGGAGTTGTTGCTACTGAAAATTAGATTTTACTACCAAATCACTCTGCTCTACCCATAAAGCCTTTTTGCACTTCCCAACTTCTATAAAAATATTGTTTTTGGCTCTTTCATGTCGTGCTATTTCCTGGTATTGAAATATCATACTCCTCTGCATTCCCACTGTAAAGCTAAGTTTTTGTAGCAACCCTGGTAAACTTGGTCAAAGCTAAAATGCAGTTCATTATGCCTCTATTTCTTTTCCAAACCTCCACCCATCCCACTCCCAAAGGAAAGAAAGAATACCTGTTGGGCAGAAGATTATGCTGATTGAAATTTAAATTTTTTTGAGATTCATCATATAAATTGTATATTTTATTGGATCAATTAATATTTACATTCATTTCCAAGTGTTTTGGTATTTCAATCGATATCTTTATTTGGGGTTAGGAGTAATCTAGAGTTCAATACTTTTCACATGAAACATGATGTTTACATGCAACCTGCAAGGGATCCCATTGATTATTATTGTTTATGAGAAGTATACAGCAAAGAACAAGACAAATTTTTGCAAATACGCAAAATCATAAGCATCTTTGAAAATAGGCAAACAAATTTTTACAGCAAATCCCCAAACTTTTACCTTTCTAGCAAAATTCAAGTAGACACAAATGGATTAGTCTGCATACAAACTGTCCGCGGGAAACATGACCCTTGAAATCAAAGTTGCCAATCTATAGGGGGAATCCCCATTTGCTCCAAAAGCTGGTTTGTGCGGGAGAAATGCCTGTTTACAGTGTTACAAAAAGTGAAAGATATCAAGACAATAGCATCATAATTCACAAGTGGACTTAACCCTAGTCATTAACAAGTGACACTTAATAATCTTTATAATATGCAAGAATTAAGATCGCAATACTACAAGAGTGTGTATGTAGCAATCACACAAATATACAAGGGCACATTGTCACTGTTGAGTATTTGTATTTAATGCCGAGTTCAAACCATTGCTGTTACCATTGAATACAATCTCAATAAACCAACCAATCCCATCTCAGAATCCATAAAACTAAAATTATATATACCAAAGCCAGAAGACTTGGTGTGTAAATCGTAAAGCAGTAAACTTGTTTCTAACCATACCAACCTGCAACCAAAGAAGCCTCTATTTGCAGACAAACCAGAAGGGTGTGCTGCCTTGAGAATGTGATGTTTTGTATGATCAATCAACCTGTGATAGATTAAGAGAAGTCTTAAACAAGACCGTCAATATGATCATAGTGAATATTTTTGTTTCCCTATTGGAATAGCGCACATTTATGCTAAATGTTGCAGTGCACATAGTATGATACATAGAACAATAATATATATAATAGTAGATATTTTAGAATTCCACTATTTTTTCAAACTTATAATAAGCTATGTTGCATGGACTCAAGTAAGATTTTCTGACATTATGCCTCACTCAAAATTCAGAGCCACAAATTCAGTTAGAGAGTCTAAAAGTAGCGTTATTTAGACAGTTCTTACAATTGTCTCATGAAATACACTAGCATCTAGTACTTATTTAGCAAAATTTAGGAATGCAATGCAATCATGAACAAACTAGCTCCTTCCCTTCCCCCTGAAACCACTCAATCAAGTAATCAGGTCAGATCTGCCATTTATATCATTCATCTTTCACTTCCCCTTGCTACCTCATTCTGTCATCTATAACCCACGAAACACTATACACTGCCTCATTGCTTTCTTCTCCAAAATTTCCATCTTTCTTCATTTTTTTTTTTTTTTGGTGAGAAATTCTGGAGAATCTAGTGGTTTAGGATCAACATAAACTTGAGTAGAGGCACCTAGCTTTGAAGAAGCCAGTTCATATGGTCATTGCCATGTCAGACACATATTCCCCATCCTCACCTATGTTGTGTTGTGTTGACACTAGTTGAGTGCCCTAAAATGGTGAGTCAATATAAGATAGAAGTTGAGTGAAGATAAAAATATTGACCGCAATTATTCTGCTCATATTGAGCTGAAGAGCACAATTTAACTTGCACAGGAAAAAAAATCCTAGAATTATGAATATAAAAGGAAAGTGGGGGGAAGGTTCAAGTTCAACCATTAATACTATGATTGAAAAGCAGACATACCTGGATTTCTCTTGAGCTGAATTCCCCCAGAGGAGAAAAACAACTCCTTCCTTCTTTTGTGAGATAGTCCTAATAATAGCATCAGTAAATTGCTCCCAGCCTTTCTTTGCATGAGAATTAGCTTGCTGCTTCCTAACTATATAAAAAATGAAAACAAAAAAAAAAAAAATCATGAAAGCTATAGATTAGAGGGCAGGGATAACAATAAGGAAAAGTAAAGCTTCATCTCCTTTGGAGATGATGCCATTAAGTCGCAAAATATTCCACAGGTTACAACTGTGTAACATGACAATGACTTCGTGATATAAATAAACAAACAATGCAACTACATTAATGTCCACAGCCTTTCAAATCCCAAAAGAGATAACACTTTGACAAACCTGTACCTGCATCTAATTTTGAAAATGTGAATCATACAGACTTCTCCTAATGGTTATATAGTTGCTTATTTCATGAACTCACTATGGCAATACACACTTGTTAAACAGTTATCTTTTAACTCATATGATGTATACCGGTAAACCAGGCTTCACCAAACCATTGCCATAAATATCTTTTCATGAATGTAATGAGGAACTTAATTCCATGAACAAAGTTGTAAAAATCCAATTATAAGCTCGCATACAAATAATAACACAATCTCAAGTGTGGATAAGAAAATTGCCTGTGAGAACAGTGTTGAGCAAAAGAACACCCTACAAAATGGTAAAGATTAATGTCAGCATGTTTTATTAGAACAATAAGAGAATAAGCTAATTGGAAGAAATCTATCTTTTCATTCAATGATTCAATTATTAGTGTACATTTTGGTGCATTGTGAGATATTATATGCACTTTTCACCTGAACCGCCCACTTCACTAGATTTCCATGAGATGGAATTGAACAGCCAAGATCCTGCTTAAGTTCCTTAAATATATTCACCAGACTTGAGGGAACCTTCACTCCCTCTGGCACTGAAAATGCGAGCCCCATTGCTTGACCAGGTCCATGATAAGGGTCCTGAAATAACAATCTCAAATGCCTATAATCAGTAAAAGGGTGCTTTATTTTATTGTAATTTTTATCAAATTTCATGCGACGGCGATCAATTAAACCCGTTCTCTGGCTTATCAAGTTATAGAACTTCACCTGTCCAATGATAACTGCTTTGACCCTGTGAAATGGAGTGGAATTAAGGGCATTGAAAATCAAATGCTGGGGAGGATAAATGGGCACGCTGCCACTGGATATCTCTCTTTCAACAAATTTGCACAAGTTAGTACCGTAAGGCTTCTCAAGCTCTCCAGGTAGGGCTTCGAGCCACGTCTCCTCCACCAAGAGTTCCTGCAGTTTGACGTAGCCTGATCCTTCAACCTTGGACTGCGACACCTTTTGGGAACAGATTTCGAGGTTGGGTTTTGATTTGGCGAGACATTTGTTTGACTCCATCCGAGACTGTTGCTGGGTGGTGAGAGAGGGAAGTGGGTGATGATCGGAAGCAGTGGAGAGTTTCTGGCGCTTGGCTGGGTTTGGTTGGAAGAAATCGGTTATGGCTTTGGAGGATGCGGCGGCCATTGGTCTGGGCTGTAGCTGTAGGGAACACAGTGAGGAACCCAAACGAAGGAGCATCTATGGTGTTTCGGTGGGGAAGGATTTGGAGGAAAAGCAAAGACATGTTAGAAGGTAAAGGCGGAATGGAATATATGCTTTTGACCTTTCGTTCTTGGAAAAGCAAAGATATATTAGAAGGGGAAAGGTGGAATAAAAAAAAAAATCATTTGTTATTTTAATTGATAATATTGAATTATTTGTTATAATGTTATGAAATATTATATATATAATTGATTATTTTTATTAATTAATTAATTTTTATTTATCATATATTTTTTATTATTTTTAAATACACATTAATTGTCATGGATTCAAATAATCCAAAAATATATATGTTAAATTTTGTTCAAGTTTTTATATGACATATAATTATTGAATAAATTAAAAAAAATCTATGAATTCATGAATAAATCAATTAGTTTATAAATAAAATATTATATAAAATTTATAATTATATATCATGTCAGATAGTATAAATATTTGAGATAAAAATGATATGATAACTAAATTTAAAATTAAATTAAATATCCAAATTTTAATTTTTATCTAAATTATTTATTCAATTTGAAATACCTAAATTACTCATATATATTCTAAATAAGAGTTAAAAAAATACTATATTATATAAAAATAGAAACTAGAATATATCAAATTTCTGCCTTAAACTTTTTTTTTTTAATTTTTATTCTCGTACTGCCTTTTGTTTTTTACCACTTTCCAAAGGCAGGTCAAAGCCCTTTTGTTTTGAACAAAGACGAAATTGGACCTTATCCGAATCCAATGACCCGATGAATCTCCTCGCCCGTAATTCCTTCGTGGATTTGACGTCCGTGCCCGCTCAGATATTCTGATTGACGGAAAAAAGATTAAAAAAAACAATTGCGGCCGTTTGGTTGGCCTTTGAGAGTTGAGTTTGGCGGCGGCTTCTCCCTTGTCGACTCGCCACCGAAACTGAAACTCCAAGCAAAACACCGTCTTCCCCAAAATGATTGTCCCGAAACCCTAATTCACAACCGTACTCTTCTTTTTTCACATTTCAGAATGATTAATGGTAGCGGTGACGATGCAGCAGCCGCAGCCGAAGCCTCCTCTTCCTCCACCTCCTTCGTCCGCCTCTTCACTTAGATCCCCTACATCCACTCCCACCCAATCCCCTCTCCCTTTTCCTCCACGTCAGCCCCTCGATCATGTCGCGGTTCCAATCTCCGCCGCCCATCCTTCCAGTGAGCCACTTGTAACGATGGGGACCGCCCCACTTCCACTCGCCAGAGTCCGGCTATCTGATATTTCTCCTTATGATGGAGCCCCTTCGGCTTCCTATGTCAGGGCCGTGGAGGCTTTTTCGGGGTCTTTGATGAGACATAATGCGGCGGTTATTGAGTTTGAGAACCATGACGCCGCATTGATGCGGTGCGGCCTGGAAGCTGCACGGTTGTACTTTAGGAATAGGGTAAATACTGTTGGAAAAGGAAGCCGTGGGGTTTATATGTATAGGGCTGGAAGGTATATGCTATTTCTGTTCGCTTTCTTGAAATTTTAGTGCCCCAATTGCTTACTTGTTACTGGTTCTGCTGCATCTTTGGGGCCTTGTTCTTGTTGGGAACTTTTTGACTATGTTAATCTCCTGCCAATTGCTTGGCTGAGCAGTCGAAAGCTTCTCCAAAGTAGGATTTCTCCTTATTCATGCATATATGAATTGCTAGAATATGGTTATCAGTGATTGCTTTGCTAATTTTGTAACTGAAAACTTCCTTTTTTTTACTATATGGATTTGCACTTAATGGTGCTTGATGCGGGTTATATACCCACTTATGAGTCAAGTCTTTGGGTCGATGCATAATATTTAGGACTACCATACTGTGAATTTTTGCCATATGCAGTACTTTAAAAGTATTTTACATTTAATTCTTTTGCTTTCATCACTTATTTTTGTTTATTTGAGTGTCTACTTACATTTTTTTAATCTAATTCTTTTATTATTATGATTATTTTATTTTATTTTATTTTTTGGCAAAGTGGTGACACATCATTAACTTTCTTCTGGTAGGGCTTTGGAAGATTGGGACTCATGTCCACCATGCATGGCTGATATTTTTAGGTGCATGGGGAAGGCTGCTCGTGTTGCTTTATGTGCAATAGCTAGGCACCTTCGTTTGCGAAGCGAGTAAGGATGGTGATGATGGATTATTTATTGGTATTTAATTGCTCCTATTTCTTTTTCTGCCTTCCACCTTGGTAATATATCAAATTGCAAAATATATTTTATGCAGTGTGTTCAATCATTTACTTGATGACACTCCGTTACCTGCTAATGAGGTGTCTTCATCGGTGCTTGTTGCAAACTACTCTCATGTGTCTTTGCAAAATGCAAAGGGGGCTATTGGAGGAGGAAAGCCGGGAATGAGTGGTGAAGTTGAGAAGGGGTTATTGACATTGATTTCTTCTGATGGTCCCGGTCTACAGGTTTTCTTTTGGCAGAAAAATGTTGATTCTTTGATTTAGGAAATTTCCTTAATCAAGTGCTTTTTTGTGAATCTGATACTTTGCATATATATATATATATATATATATGTTTCTGTAAACAAAAACACATGTAGAAGTAGGGATATATACTTACATGCATGCACCTATGTATGCATATTTTGTTGGAAATGTTTGATTATGTGATCCTTTTGGGCATATATGTTAAATATCTTCTGCCTTAGGTTTGTGACCCCAATGGCCGTTGGTACCTAGCAGATGGTGGATTGGCTCCTGGGGATATGTTGCTTATTACTGGCAAGGCACTTAGCCATGCCACCGCTGGTCTTCGTCCTGCTGCTTCATATAGAGCTGCTCCCGAGTACCTGTCGGGCATTAATAATGGTGGCAGGTATATGTAGTCATGTTTGGTTCTTGCTTTGGTTTCAATGTGGTAGTAAAGTTCTTCAATTCTTGCACTACTTGACTGAAGTGAGTAACCCTTTTCAGCATTTGGTTTCAGGACATCACTTGCATTTAGGCTTATGCCACAGGGCAATGCTGTATTAGATTGCTCTCCAGTTGCAGCTGCTGGTCATGTAATTCCACAAAGCTATGTACCAATATCTGTTAGCCAGTTTATGGATGAACTCTCTGCCGAAGAAGATGTAGTGTCCAATCGTTCTGACAATACTTGTGTAAGTCCTAACTTTGTAGCATTTCATGCAATGATTCTCAGGTGGAAAAAATAGACTATAGAAAAAAAAAAGGAAAGTCATGGTAAATTGCCCTGTGTCTCATTTAATGTAATTTTTTTTTTCTTTTCACTGATTTTGAGGTGTTGAAAAGAGTCCTTTGCAGATTTTGAAAATTTATTTAATGTATAAAATTATGTTGTACCAGTCTGACTTGTTTCTCTTCTTATTTAGGAAATCAATGTTTGACTTTCTATAGGTTTTCTATTAGTCAAGGTTTTCAAATACATGTGGTGGTTGATTGAAATGAATTTTGATGTGTTGATTTGCATTTTTATTTGGTCTTGAGTTTATTGAAAACAGTTTCCTGATTGCTATTTTGTTTTCTGCTTATATCCTTACTGTTCAATTTATTGCGTAAATGAACCTACTTTTCTTTTCGTAGCTTGCAAGTTGCAGTTTTGAATTTCATATTTTGGCTACAATTCTTGTTATCCAACCTTATTATGAATTTTGGATTCCCAGGGACTTCTAAACAATTTGAATAAGGAGCCTTCATTAAGAAGTGTTCTCTCAGATCCCTTGTCGTAAGTTGTCTCACTTTCACCCAGATTCTGTCTTTGCATTTGGTTAAGCTACTTGGTATCCTTGTCTAGCTGTTGTTTGAAATGTATCCCTAGCATGTCATAGTATTGATAAAATTGTTTATAACCATATCATGAGTGAATCAGCATAAGTAAATCCTTGTTGAAAGTCTCCATCCCTGTTTTCCCTAGTCTTTCCCTCCACCTTGGACTGGAGCATCTTCCATCAACTCAGATCTTTCTATAGGCTTTTCTAGGCCAGTTGCCCTCATGTACAATAGACCTTAAACATGATTATCTCATTTTATACTTAATCGGCACTATATCCACCCTTTCTATGATGCATTCTCCTTTTTAAGCCTTTCTACTCTTTCTTACTCTGAAATACAATGAACCTAGATACTTGTATAAAACTAGTAAGAAGGAAAAACATTCATGTTGATACCTTTCTCTTTGCACGTGCTCCATGGAAGGAATACTTTGTTGATCTACTCTGTTTATTTATGTATGACATACAAATACATACATGCAGAGGTTTTTCTTTTTCTCTTAATTAATTAGAAATAGTAAAAGCTCATACTTTTGATTTTATATTTATATCCAATGACTTTTAGAATCATTTTTGTCAACTTCTTGACCTTTTTAATGCAGATTGGATCAATTTTATTTCTTTCTCAAGAAAAAGATATTACAGATGCTATACATTTATGAGGTTTTCTTGCAAGAAAATTGTTTTCATGCATTTTATATGACACTTAATGTATCCTTTTCTTACTTTGAGTTTTTCCTTGATGCTTAGTGGTGCATTCCTTGAAGATGCTATGGTTGTTTCTTGTGGACATTCATTTGGTGGTCTCATGCTAAAGAGGGTCCTTGATATGGTAAGCTGGATATCTTCTATTAAGGAGAACATAAATGGTACTTTGTTTTCAAGTTGCATGCATTTCACATTAAAATGACAATTCTCATCTTTTTTGGGGATTTAGAGGGTGAGTCATTGTTTAACTGTAGGATGAGTTCCAAACTAGAGGGTGAACACATTATTTGACAAAAAAAAAAAAAATCAGCATCTCGTTGATTTTTTAAAAGCATGTAATGGTCTTTGGCCAACCACTACTGACCTCTTTGTTCTTTGAAAAGAGAGCAAATGGGAGGTAGACAGAGGCTAGTGCCTACTTATTTGAACTTTAACCAATACTTCAGTTCTCTATGTATGCTAGGAGGCAGTTGTATTTCATGTGTTTGAGGAAAAAAACTAAAACCTTTTATATCAAAAGTTTTTCAATTTGTTGGAAGTAGCTGTATTGTTTCTGGAAAGAATATTAAAGATACAAGTGAGATCAATAAATGTTGGTTTTCTCAAACATGCAGGTGCGTGAGCACACCAAATCCATCCTTCTAGAATGATTTATCTGTTGGTAAAATTGAACTATATTTTATCACCTTATACATTCTTTATCACTTCAAAGTCTACTTAAGTCTAGTTAAAGAATGGGGTGAAATTCATATTAGGCAATAAGCTAACTCATAAAGGTTAAAGGAATTAAATATAAATCAGAAGTGTCAAGAGAAGGTCTGGCAAAATTTTTTGAAGGAAAGAGATATCCTGTCATTTTGTGGCTTATAAAAGCTGGTTTTGTTTTAGCATCATCTAATATTTGTTGATATGTATGCTTGTACACATACCTGTGCTTGACATTGTCTGCTTTTATGAATTTTGTGGCTAGATTCACTGCTGTTTCCTTTACATTACTGTTTACAATGGATTTATTACTTTTAGATGGGAACAGACAAGAACCGTAACTACAATTATTGTTTGCATCACAGTCAAGATGTACGCTTTGCAGTGCAGACATTGACTCTAGGTCTTTGATCCCTAATATTGGTACATTCTGATAGCTACTTTAATTTTCTCTGGCCTTTTTTGCCTAGTTTTGCTATGCTCCGTTCATTTTGTCTTGCACTCTCTCCCTCACTCTTTTTTTCCATTTTGAGCCATTTGATTCTGTGTGTGTGTTTCTGTCTTTGTTCTTATTTCTTTCTTTTCTTTTCCCCATTTCTCATATTTTCACCCTTGTTCAACAGCTCTAAGAGCTGCTGCTGCAGCTGTGAAAGAAGAGGATAATCGAAGGCTATTCCATAATGCAGTTCTCCGTAAACGACGAAAGGATATGGGTGAACAAATTGATTCATCAAGAAGATCGAGCAGGGTATACTCTAAATAAACTTCTTCACACAATCCTTCCAAACTTTTGTTATGCATGCATAAACTGTCATAAGCGTTAATGATATTAAACTCTCAGTTCTTTTGCAATTGGTAATAAGAAGAGATGGATATAGGATGTTCCAAATGGGCAAAAGATGTTGCAAGAATTTTACTAAGTATAGCCTGACTATTTCCTGGAATCTGATTATTATCTGAAAAATATAGTCTCTATTATGAAAACAGGTATGGCGGAAGTGCAGTTATTTGACTTGTTTTACTTCATTGTGGTAGAAGAAAACAATTAGCATTGATGTGATAATGTCTCTCAACATCGAATTTAGGTGTGAATTGATTGCTGTGTACTTGGACTTCCTATCATGTAGGGTAGCATGTGGAAGCCTCAAAATTATTTGCTTTCAGGATGGTGATGACTTAAAGCACATTGCAGACTAATCATCTTATTAGAAGTCAGATAGGATAGTTGCTTCTGGAATTTGAGTTCTTAACACCTTAAGTCAATTTTGGACACATTTGAGAAAAAAAAAAGGACATTTACAGTGATTACCATTTATTATGTTATGATCACTGGCATTGAACTTTCCAAATGTAATTTGTTAGGGAGTTGTTCTTAACTTCAAATCTGACACTGATCAAATGCTTGTCCTAAGGAAAATGGAGATGGTGGTGCTGATGATGGGTTGCATAGGGGTGTGCAATATCCATTTTCGGTGAATGAGAAGGTGTTAATTAAGGTCTGCATTTTGCTGCTTGTTTCATTGCAAATTGATTCTGACTTCCAACTTGACAATTAGACTGAAATTTGAATTATGTGCACTGAAATATACAGGGAAACAGGAGGACATCAGAAAAATTTGTTGGGAAGGAAGCCATTATTACATCCCAATGTCTCAATGGCTGGTGAGTTGTCTTGATCTATGTTACATGGACTCAGAGGTGAGTGTCGGATACAGGTATGTGTCCGACACAGATATGTTCAATTTTTTCCAAGTTTTTACATATATTTGGAGGGCCAGACCTCTATACCCATGTTGAGATATGTGTCAGACACGGGTGCTTAGAGGAAAATGAAGAGTCGTAGCAACATAGGGCTTTATCCAAGTTTTTATGTCACGGGCCTAAGGAAGAGTCTTGAATCCCATATCGAATATAATAGGAGGGTCACTGGGATATATAAGGGTTCACACCACCTCCGCCTTGTGAGGCACCTTTTGTAGGACAAAACCGTGAGGTCAGGGTGGGCCAGAGCGGACAATACCTCATAAGGGTGTGAACCGTGGCAGGTAAGCTGATCCGGGACGCCGGAAGGGTGAATGCCCGGGTCCCGGAGCCGCGCGGATTCGGAGCTTAAGTCTCAACCTGTGACAAGTGGTATCAGAGCCAGTCCTAAACCGTTCGATCCACGCCAAGCACCTCGAGGGAGGTAGGCATGGTGGTCAGTCTCCGTGACGAGGACGTCACGAGGTTGGGTGCGAGAGAATGTCACGGACCTAAGGAAGAGTCCTGAATCCCATATCGAATATAATAGGAGGGTCATTGGGGTATATAAGAGTTCACACCACTTCCGTCTTGTGAGACGTCTTTTGTAAGACAAAACCGTAAGGTCAGGGTGGGCTAGAGCGGACAATACCTCACAAGGGTGTGAACCGTGACAGGTAGGCTGATCCGGGACGCCGGAAGGGTGAATGCCCGGGTCCCGGAGCTGCGCGGGTTCGGAGCTTAAATCTCGACCCGTGACACTTACACATGCACAAAACTGTGCCTCTAAAAAGCCTTCAATTTCATGAAAAAGTGCTCCTCAAACCACCGTTACAGGATTCCAGTTATGAATGACGTTGTAGAGGCTGTAAAAGCTGAGAACTAACCCAACTAAACCTGAGCTGAAACCTGAAGTGGTTCAAATCTTAAGGATTCCGAGTTTGAAGTAACATGAGCGTGAAACATTAAACGACATTGACATGAACTGTCTTGAACATGAGTGGCCTGGATTTGAAGCAATCTGAACTTAAAACAACTTAAAACTTGAAATGCTCCAAGTCCAAATCCCGAAATTACCTGAAATGTAGTCTAAAGCGACTCAATTACAAACTAAAGGTTTTATGATTGAGCATAATTCATTTTAATTCTCCTTAGAAATTCACTTCTAATAAAAAATTTTTGAAGTTGCAAAAAGCAATAAGTATCATACAAGGTTGCATTGCCAATTTTTTGGAAAAGATGATAAATTTTATCTGCCTCAGTTAACTTCTGTATTATTCTCTTTTACCTCAACAAAAATTATATTATAATGAGATGACTTTTGCCATTCGTTATGTACTGACTGTTCACATCTGTTGTAGATAACACACTCATAAAACTCTGTTATGTTTTGTTCTTGTCATTTATTTATTTATTTCACAAAAAAAAAAAGAGAAACAATATGTAGACATGTCAGCAGAGACAGAGTTGGAGCTTAGTTTCTAATGGTGAGTATCTCCATGCTTTCATGACTTTCTTGCAGGTATTTGCTTAAGATTATTGGAACTGGTGAGAATGTTCGACTGCAATATCGTTCTCTGTGTAAGATCTTGAACCCTCAGCCCGTTGAAGATAGATGTTCTTCGCAACCGGTTCAGAACAGTAGCTCATAGATGTAAATTTCTTTTACTCACGCCATAAATTTCCATAGTGCATACGTAGCGGAATAGTGAACTTGTCCAGCTGCCTTAGAGATATATGATGTGCTTTTGTTTTTGTTTTTTTGGTACACTATTGCATTTGAATGTTGTGTATTTATCCGGGAAAGTTATTTGACTTCTGATATCATGCAAGAAGATCTGTAAAGAAAGAGGAACTATGGAAGAAGTATAACACGACCGTTGCTTGCATGTAATTAACATGATGATGGAGACTATTGCATACACATATTTTTACGCTTATTTTGGGAATGGGTTGATATATATAAGGGTAAATTATATAAACTATCCTGTAGTTTGATACGAAAGTGGCTCTTAAAGTTTAAAAGTTGATCCTTTAACTACTTTGAGATTTTTTTTATTATTCTTTTGCTCAAAATCGTGACGTTTTTCATTTTCTTTTAAAAACTTTTTTTGGCTTCTATTTTCTCTCCCCAACATTTTTGAATTCTCTTTTAACTTATTTCAACCCAGCTAATACAAGAACAAAATCCAGTTTATGATGAAGTGTACTGTTGCCCCCACCAATCGTCGTTAATTTCACCGTTTGTGCGTCACTTGTTTACTGTGCTGCTAGTCGATTATCTCCCTTTTTTTCTCTTTTCATTTGTGTTTTAAAAACTCAAAAAAAATTTAAAAATTCAAATTGAAATTCACAAAAAAAAAAAAAAAAAATCTTGTTGATGAGTTGTTGCAACTGATGTGTGAATTTGTGATAATTTTGTGGGTTTACTAGGTGTGGGGTATTTCAGGGTGGGTTTTTCTAGTGACTGCTGAGTTTATTTTTGGATTTTTTCAAGGTTATTTGCTTTGTTGATGGTTGTCTTTGAAAATTGGTGTAGCAATCGAATGAAAATTGATTATTTGTTTGATACTTAATTGATTGCTCTTAATTGCTTCTGTGTTCTTCGATTGCTTCCTAATGAATTGCTTTTTGCATGTCGTACTACTTCTGCAATCGTGCTGGGATTGCTTGATTTGCTTACCGTTGGATTACTTTGTTTATTGCCGAAGTGCCTCCTTGTTGAACTATACTAATTTGTCGAACAACTGCTTTGTGCTGAATGACTAACATGCAGAATATCCAAAAAAAAAAGAAAATTACTTTTGCATCCATATCCAAAAATTCAACTAAAAAACTTATTTTCAATAAAAATATCAAATCAAATATAAAAAACAAAATACCCAAATCAAATTTAGCTTAAAAAACAAAAATCACTTCAAATTGTAAGTCAAATCATACTAAAAAATTGACCTTGTTTACTTTGAATCACAAAGACTATTTCAATTCATCTTCTTCCTCTTCCCATTCATTAAAACAATTACGAAAAATATCACATAACATATAGAGAACATTATATTTAGTTGCAATGCGATTTTTTAGTTTAAAATAGATGATTTTTTGGTATGAGTTTAGATTTTTTATTTTAGTTCTAAAGAGAGAAAAATAATAAAATTTTATAAAAAAATGAAATGGGAAAAGAGCTAGAGTTTATATGATTTAGGGGCTAACGACATCAATTAAATATTTCGGGTGATTATATCTTATTTTAAATCTCAGGTAACAAACTCAAATCGAGTATAATTATAAGGTATATATATATATATATAATTTATCTTATATATAATCAAGTCGACTAATCAAGTTGAGATATATAAAAAAATTTTGAACTAAAATTAAATAATCATCTTAGTTTTTATTACAATCAATTAAGTGTTTAAATATTTATTTTTATTAATTGAGTTTTTATTAGATGAAAATTGATTAATCATTAACGTTTATTTTCATCTAATCAATGATTCACTTGAGTGAAAATAAATATTTAAAGATTTAACTTGATGAAAATAAATATTCAAAAATTTAATTGAATGAAAATAAATATTAAAAGTTCACTTGGTTACAAACAATAAACTTTGATAATTATTTTTGTTTAAGGGTGATTTTTTTTATTAAACTAAATTTAAATTAAAAAATTGACACTTTTAAGAAATTTGTTTAATTGATTCATGTAACTATTTTTAAAAAATAATATTTAATAAGTTTAGAATTTAAATATTAACATTCATTTTTTTTCTTTTATTTTATGATAAAAACATAAACACCTCTGCATCTTTTTCGATATTGTGCTGTAGTAAATTGAGGACTAACTAAGGATTATAGTTGAAGTCATATGAGTTTACAAATAATAATTAAGCAAAATAATAATTTCCGAAATCAATGATGTTTGCAAGATTCATTGGAACTAATTAAGGAAAAAAGGATCCAAATGCGCGATGTTACATTAGTAGTATTGCAGATTTTTTTATTTTTTTTTAAGATGCGAGATAGTAGTAATTCAACTTCAGGTATAAAATACAAATATTCAAGTCATTTTGAGCAGAAAAAGCTTCAAAAAGAAAAAAAAAAAATTTGAGAGGGAAAGGTGAATGAATTAAACAAATTAAAAGTTCTTAAAGAATAATTTGGGATTTCTTAGATATTATATTTAGAATTATATCAGCAGCAATATTCTATGAAAGGAGCCTTACAAAGTTATACTCATGAAAAATGCAGCTCAAAAATACAAAAAAAAAAAAAAAAAAAAAAGAACCTTACAGAGCCTTTAGTTTTAATTGGACTCGTACTTAAAAAAGACACCAGTACTGCAAATCCCGATAGCCTTGGACTTAAGACCATCACTGACGAGGGCCGTCGTTAAACTTTATTTAAGATTAATTAGATATTATTTTATGAATAAAAATATTTTTTAAAAAAATTAAAAAAAAATTTAATAAGTAAATTTGACTCAAAAAAAAATTATAAGAGAAAATAAAATTTTGATAGATAAATATGTATATTTATAAATAAATAAAGTTTTAAGTATAAGAAAATAAAAATATAAAAGAGTTGAAATGTTTTATAGAATAGATACTCAAAAGAGTACTTAAAATTTATTGTTAAAAATTTATAGCTGATGGTTATGTATGGTAATGTGTGTGAGTGAACTAAAGGAAATTGAAATGATCCACATAGATATAATGCATAAGTGCAGAGTATATATTTGTTTGGGTTGAAAATAATTAATAAGATTAAAGAATATTAAAAAAGTTTGTCGGGAATAATACCGTCTCATGAGAGCTTTGTTTAAGATTAATTAGATATTATTTTATGGATAAAAATATTTTTTAAAAAAATTTTAAAAAAAATTTAATAAATAAATTTGACCTAAAAAAAGATTATAAGAGAAAATAAAATTTTGATAGATAAATATGTATGTTTATAAATAAATGAAGTTTTAAGTATAAGAAAATAAAAATATAAAAGAATTGTAAGATTTTATAGAATAGACACTTAAAAGAGTACTTAAAATTTACTGTTAAAAATTTATGGTTGATGGGTATGTATGTTAATGTGTGTGAGTGAACTAAATGAAACCGAAATGATTCACATAGATATGATGCATGGGTACAGAGTACATATTTATTTGAATTGAAAATAATTCATAAGATTAAAAAATATTAAAAAATCTATGAATATCAATTGTTGAGTGAGAGTGATTTAATATATATTTATAATTTTTTATAATTAATAAATCTTATTTTTTATCCGTAGACAAAAATCAATTAAGTTAAATCACGTTAAATTACTATATCTTATATACTCGATTGATTGTTTGATTTTACTTCTGCAGCCCGATCGACTAAAACTTCTTTGCCTATCATTATTTTAGCCTATAAGCAGTCCAGCGTTCATGGGGCTCCCTAGCAAAGCACCTCATCAATAAATCCTTCCCTGCCTTTGACATGTCTTGGGGTATATTTGGTGCTTCCAATACAATCCATGTGGAATATCACAATCTTCCTGGCCAAGTCTTCTGGGTCGGAAGCAGATTGCCATGGTAGTTCGCCTGTCATCATCTCAACAATAATGCAACCCAGAGACCATATTTCTAAAGCAAAAGTGATTTTCCCATGCTCAACGGATTCTGGTGACATGTAATGCGCGGCACCCCGAAAACAAGCAAAGCAGAACCTTCTCCAGGTTCCTCGGCTGAGCCAAAATCAGCAATCTTCATAGTACAAAGAGAACCTGTTTGATGACAAGGACAAACAAGAATGTTGCCTGGTTTGATATCGCAATGCACGTAACCTCCCCCATGAACATCACAAAGCCCTTGAAGTATCATCTTCATATAGCACCTCACATCAGATTCTGGTATTTTACCACCATAATTGTCGATCAAATTCAGAAGACTCCCGCCAGCCGCATAATCAAGAAACAAGTTGTGATATTCCACCTCATATTCAACGCTCGAAATTTCATAGTAACATTGAACAATGTTTCTCAACCAAGAAATCGTCGGAGGATTCTGTATTCCTTCTGAAGTCAAGGGCTAGGGGAAGGAGAATATTTAACAGCAAGTAGACGAGGAACAGGCATTATTACCTTGGCTAAATCCACAAACCCATATCCTCCCTCGCCAAGGCTCCTCTGTTTGATCCATTCCAGGGTCAGACCAGACCTGAATGTTACTCCTGTTATTATTTCTGGAGCAGACTCCATAGTCGTGCTAGCTGCCGATAATGATCAAAGCCAACGACTGAAGAAGAAGCGATCAAAAACAAGCAAAGCAGAAGAATTGTAGAAAAAATAAAAGCAGGTTTTGAAAACTAAAACAATAGGTTTCTTCAACTTCACAATGCTCATATATGTAGCTTTCGCCAAACCGTTTTGAGTCGGTTATGAATGAATTCCCATCTTTGTCCTCCTCCTAATCCAATGGTCAGCTCAGGTCTAATGTCACCTCTCAATATAAATCCTACGTGGTTTATGATTTTAGATTGGTGCTTTGCTCTCCAAGTAAAGAAAGAATTATGTTAGATAATTTTATTTAAAATTAGTTGATGTTATATATAATTATTACTTATGAATATTAATTTAATTAATATTGTTCATCAAATTATTTAATATGATTGAATGATCATAAACTCTAATATATGATTCAATAATAATAGTTAATATTGCTATTATATAGTATTATTTAGTATTATGTAATTTTATTACTAGCTACTTAAATAAAATACTATTTTATTTTATCTATTGAATTATTGTATAATTTGCAATAGTTTAAACAGTTGTTTTCATTATATAACAATATTATTTACCAAACATGTTCTATATTTTCAAATTGTAAAAACAAAGAAGAAAAATATAAGAAAAACTATAGTAAACGACACTTTTGTAATTCGATTCAATAATTGAAAGAGATTTCAGGGTGGTGTTGTTTTTGAACACCAATAGGCCATATTTGTGGGCCTTTCCTTCCAAAAAGCTACGAAAAGATGAATGCGTAGAAATAGACTGAGTTCAAATAAGGAGATAAAAATCAAGTTAGCTTGAAAAATATTGCATTGCAAACTCTACACCAGCAACGATTCCTATAGCAGCAAAACTGTGCTATAGCACCCGTAACACAAGTCTAGATAGAAATACATCAAACTGTAGAGAGTAGTTTCAACTATCAATCACACTAAAGATACCAATTCAACTCAAAAGTTTCAATCAAGTACCATCTTCCAGACCAAAGGGGACATATCAAGCACATTAACAAGACACTGATTCTTCCTTTATCAGTAAAAATACCTGCTTCGATCTCGGTCTCGATCCCCCCTATCTCGTCCATAATTTCTATCTCGGTCATGTTCATAACCACGGCTGCGGTCCTTTCCCCTATCCCTCTCTCTGCTTCGACTACGATGCCTTTCCCTATCTTCACGATCTCTATTCTTGCTACTTTCTCTATCATCCCGTTCCCTTCCCCTATCTCTGCTTCTTTCTCTTCCATCCCTGTCGATCACACCTGCGAAAAAGCTTTTATTAAAACATTAAGATACTCCAAACACCATCATACTGCAGCAGAAAAAAGGAAATACTTTGTTTTATTTCCTTATTCATTAAGTTGCAAAAATAGAACACCATTTTCTCCCTTGAAATTTACAGTAGGTTGAAATTGCTTGACCTTCAGGCAATTTCATCTTCAAGGCTTTGCTTGGTTGGAAGAATGGAAAGAGATGAGGATGAAAAATTTGTTAATCTAATGATTAAGCTATGAAGTAGGAAAGTTGTAATGAATTTTAACCATTAGATTATTAAGTTTTTCATCTTCACCTCTTTCCATCCTTCTTACCAAGCAAAGCCTAAGCCTCTAAGTCATATGGGTGGTCAGGAAAAGGAAAAGGAAAAAATAGCATCCAAATGTCCAATAACTATGTGCTGAAAGTTGGAAGGGGGCACTGTGGGGACCCAACAAGGGAGCAAGCTGGGGTGCTAGATGTGCCTTTGTGTAGTAATGAAGCAATTATACAATTCTTAACAATTGGAGAAAGAAAAATAGAAATAAGCAAAAACACACACAAGTGCATCTATGTGCGACAATAATTCACACCTGAACACAATATCTCTAGATCATTGACTGCGGTTGTTTCCACATTAAGAGCAAAGGACTCGTACAGCCAACGTGAACAGTATGTAATTAAAGCTTTGGTTAAATTAGAGCTTAGAGCTGAGAGCAGAGTTGCTTCCAAGGTGCAAAAGAAATTGTCAGAGAATCTTAATCTAGCTGTTTCTTATAAAGTCACTGGTCTGAGAAGTATGCATAAAGATCTAAGATACACATATTATATGATTATTTTAAAGATATAATACAGAAATAATACATTATAACTAAATTTATATATATTTTTTCATATTAATGCTAAAATTTTATCACTCCTACAGTATTATGCAGTTTAAAGTTAATCATGGATTGATTTCAAGAGCATTTCTTCTCATAAATTAGCTAAAACTTGCATATCATCATCCTCTTATGCTTTTATTTACAAACTCATACTCTATCTACAGTAGAAAGGTTATGGTGTGGTTTGATTTAAACCTTTACAAACTCTTATGTATTTGTTAGCAATTTGTTTGTGTGCATTCAAGTATACGTTTGGTTAAAACTAACAAATACTATACATACGAGGCTTGTCACCTAGAAAGCTTAAATAAAAGGCCAAACCAAAATCACAATCAAATTAAAACAAAACTAGGTTTGATCAGGTTTGGTAAAAAAAATTAAGGAATCAACACTCTTGTTATGGTTTCATCTTTTTAAATCACCCATGGAAAAGAAAAAGGCATGGTGCTATACTGTATGACATATAAATAATAGGCAAGTTTTAGAGGCACATCTTAAGTAGAAAGTTTCTCCCCTTTAAAATTTAGATGTTTAAGTATTCTGTACCTATTTGGAAGTTTTGGGTGAGTATCTATCTGATAAAGATGACACGAAATATCGGTTACCTCTATATATTTTTTTATACGAGATAATCACCAGTCAAACTACTCCAGAGCCTAGCAACTCAAACTACAACAGCCATATTTCTTTCACTTTGTTTCTTTGATTAAATAACCTTGACATGTATGACAATTAGTATCTTAAAACACACTGTCAAAATAATGATCCCAATACCTAGTTCCTCAACCTCCCAGCCAGCACGGCCTGAACCTGTCAGCACTCGTCCAGGTTCAGCTTGTTGTGTTTTTGCTCGGTATTTTTTCTTGAGATTGCCAAACTCATCATACATCTCACCGTCATCCTGGGATTAAATAATAATTACCATCAAATTAAGATATGTAATGAATTAAGCTTCAAATATTAATAATGGAGATATATTTTACTTCTGCCTCACGTCGACGTCGCCTTGTTTCCTCTATCTCTTCTTCATCAAGTTCCTTGTAACCACCACCACGTCCTCCTCTGTTAAAAACAAGTTTAAAGCAAATGTAAGAAGCTTTGCACATAGCAATAAAAACCAAAGGACAAAATGTGCAAAAGCTTGGTAGAACCATAGAACTGTAGTAAAATGGCATACTGACATAAACCACTTACTAGCATTTTACTCCAGTTATAAAAAGCACATTAAATGAGTTACATCAATGATGTAGGGGGAATGAAATGAAAAGAAAAGAACATAGACGAGGAAATGAATCTAATGCTTCGATAATGAAATTAATTTACTTGTTGAAAAATACCGTGGCAGCACATAACAAGAATGCACATGCAGTAACAACGCTTAGTCCAGAATGTCATTACAGAATTATGTAAATAATATTAAAACGATTAGAATGCATTGTATTGAAGAATAGACGCAATTCAGGTCATAAGAGGAAAACTACTTTTCTTTTCAGCTTGCTCTCCAAGGAAGTAAATGTGTACATTATTCAATTTATGAATCATCTTGCTCCACATCTTGATCCTAGGTAGCCAGTGGCACTACATATTCTAGTAAGTTCAAATAATGGAAATAGGCAGCTAAGAGGAAAATGATGGAACAAACTTTAGAGTGTTAGATGCCAGTTGTACTAACAAAATCCAACCAAGCCAATAGAAATAGGATCCAACCCTTCCTATCACATGGCACTACATATTCCAAGCATATTGAGCCCTTACGATCATCACATTTTTCCATTTACATGGAGCCAATTACAGAAGCAAACTAATTGAAAAACATATTTAACAGAAATAACAGAAACTAGATTTACAAGACATTTGACTCAAATACATACGAAGAAAGTACTGGAAGAAGTTAATGGAAAAAACTGCCTGACCACTCTATCAAGGAGCCAAACTAGATGCAGAGCAAACAAAAATCAAAGCATATAACATTTATTTTCCCAAAAAAAAATTAAGTGATGTACTTAAAAATTTAAAAAAAAAAAAAATAGTTTGCATTTCAGACTATTGCATGTCCTGTAATCATGAATAAAATATGTTAACTACGCAAGAGAGAAAGTACAGGCAAATACAAAAATTAGCTTGTGTAATAAAATTTTTTCTTTTTCCTCCTACTTCCAGTAAAGGGAGCATGGTACAAACCTTTTAAAAAAATAAGAATGGTAAGGAAAGGTAAAATGCATTTCAAAGAAAGCATAACCGCGTTTTAGCAATTTTATTAGAACAAGGAAGGTGGCGATTGGAGGGAAGCATGTCATGCGTGATTGGCAATAGTAACCCCAATAATATCTCTACTGTCAATTAAACATGGTTCAGAGCGACTAAAACTCAAAAAGTTGAAAGATACAAAAGAGAAATCATATTTTGGGGAGAGAGAGGAAGAGGAGTATAAGCAATGCACATTCAAAACCAAAAAGGTAAATTAGATAAAACAGAAATGATTGCAAGATAATAGGAAAAAATTATTTAAAGGTCAAAGTCACCTTAAGGTAATAAGAATGAAATGAAGCAAATGTAGAGCTACAAGAAAACAAAGTAGAAAAGTAAATCAACTACACAAAATCAATTCTAAATGAAAATATCCCAAAGATTTTAATATGCATCTAAGATTGGTAGATGGCAAATAGTTATCATATACCTCACACCGCCCTCATTGTGACCAGGTTTATTGGTGTTGCAAATATTGCATTTTGTACGCTTAGCCCAGTTGATGTTGCCACACCTGTAAAGCAAAAGTTGAACGAACTGACAAGAATAATGCTGCATTTAAGACGGCTTTGCATTCAAATATAAAAAAGGCACTCATTTCTAAACACCTGCATAGTAGAAGTGTACAAAGTGTAAGACACCACACAAACCACTCCCAATTGTTAGGACATAATTTTAACGGTCACTATAACAGAACCAATTTGCATAGTCCGAAAAGTATTAGAAACTTATCACTTTGGCTTAAGTGGTAAGGAAGGGATGGTGTTAGGATAGAGATCTTAGGTTCGAGCCCTACTGCTCTCCCTTGTACCAAAAAAAAAAAGAGAGAGAGAGAGAGAGAGAGAAAGAAAACCTTGACTTGCCATATGCAATCAAAGATTCCTATTCAAATTCTCTGAAAAAGTGATCACAACTGCATCGTAACAGAGATAAAGTGAAGGAACATGTGCACACATAAACAGACCAGGAGATGCATGTGATCAAACACTAATGTCAACCTGAGCTAAAGCAGACATTTATATATTAGAAATTTGCTACTTGGTTTTATGTTCTGCAAGGGTTTATAAAAATTAGGATTTTAGGTTTGGGATAAATTGTATAACTAAATATAGGATTAAACAGGATTGTGAAGAGATTATCAAGGATGGAGAAATTATGCCTAAGATCACACAAGCAATAGAAAAGAACATATTTCACTTAATCATTAGAAGTCATACATAGGACAAGGCCAATCATTTGGTCCAAAAAGTCCACCAGTAGCACCTACTGCTCGGCCATGACTTCCAGAGTCAGGGGCACCAGGACCTCTCCCACGACCACCAGCCCCTCCACCACCACCAGATGCACCTGCAGGTCGAGCAGTTCCACAGCAGTTGCACACACCACGGAAGGCAAAATTGACATTGGAACAACTGCAACCAGAAAAATTGAATGAGGAAGTATTTACATAACAATCAGAGTTAAGGGCAATAAAAAGAAAATGTTATAAAAGAGCAAGAAGAAGCTGCTCACCAATATCACATCACAGACCTTGTATTTGGACAGAGCCAGTCTCCTTCCTGTTTCCATGTTTTTCCAGAAGCATCACCCCGACCTCTGCCCCTTCCACCACCCCCATTCATGTCCTTAGCAGCATCTTCCTCGAATCCACCACCATCACCAGCCACAGTTGGAGGATCTCCACCAGCATTACCACTCTTACTCTCGGCTATAAAAACACCAATTTTGCTCCCATGGAAATCCTTGTCATTAAACCATTCAACGGCAGCCAATGCAGCATGTGGATCCTCATAAGTAACCGTAGCATCTCCTTTTGGCTCATTCGTTGCCTTATCTCTGTATAACCATATCTTAGGTCGGCCAGTTCGCCTATCTTTCTACAAAATCAGCAAAAACTCAACAATAAGCCATAAATAAGACACGCAGCAGCATATATTTTGTTTTTTCAATTAAAAGTTTATAGTTTATACCTTTAGCAAGCCAATGGTCCCAAAATATTCGGCTAACATTGTTTCATCAGTTCCCTCAGGTAAATTACAAACATAGACGGAACCATTTGTTGGGGCTCCTCTTCCTGAATTGCTAGCCATTGTTTCTCCAAATTCATCAAAAGCCTTCTAGAAAGTTCTGAAGAAAAGTAAATGCTTATAACTAAAAAATAAGATAGATCGCACCTTAAATTTTTTTTTTCAAAGATGATTTAAACTGAATTGAAATTTTAGAGGACAATAAATTAATTAAAATCGCAAAAAGTTAGGGTAATCAGGAAATAACCAGAAGGTAAAGATCTGAAGCCTAAGAATTAAAATTGAGCGAAAGGAGAAATGGCATTCTCACAGGGTGTGGTGGCGGAGGCGGCGCTGGCAAAGATGGAATATGAAAATGTTATGACCGCGGTGATTTTGTCGCCGGCGACACCGGTGGTTTCTTTTCTCTTCTTCGTTTTTTGTTATTACGAGTCCTGACGTTCGCTCCGGTTTTGTTGATTAATTATGAAAACCTAAACCAAATTGAGTTGGATTTTTATATTTTGACTAGGTGAGTTTTTGCCCATTGTAAATCTTTTTTTTACGAACCAAAAAAATGTTTTATAAAAAATTTAAAAATATTCTTTTTATAAATCAGACCAATAATATTTTATTCGATTAAAATATTTTTTTAATTTTAATTAAATTTATATATTAAATATATTTTAAATTTAAATTAAAAATTAAAAACTAAAATAAAATTGACTCCAATCAAATTGAATTATATATTTTTAAATTTTTTAAAAGTAACAAATTATTTTATATATTTATTTATTTAAATATATTAAAATAATATTAAGAATCAAATTTTAAAAATCAATAATTATTAAAAAAAAAGAGCCGTGAGGTTCTGTCCCATGATAATTTTTAGTGCAAATTAATAAATATATATTTTTAATGAGGTACAAGACATTTTTATTTTGATTTAAAAGGTTGAGTAATTTTTTTATTTTTTTATTTTTTAACAAAAAATGAATAAAATTAATGTTATGATGTGTTATTTTAATTTTTTTAATATGTACTTAGTTTTTTTTCATTTGATTTCAAATATTTTTTAAAGTATTTTTTATATAAAAAATGCATATAAAAGTTTTATATGTGTTAAGATTTGAATTTTAATAAATTAATTATACTAAACTTTGAATTTTTTTAAAATTAAATTCGTATGATTCTTAATAAAAATTAATTAAAAAGTTATATGTAAAATTCAACTAACAGATCTTAGATTTTGTTAAATAGATGAGTATACAAATTTTCAATTGATTTAAATAAATTTTAATATTTTATCTAAATATGTGTTTTATTAAAAAAATGAGATTATTTTTTCAACCCTCAAATAAATTGTTGATCGAATTTTTTTTGTAAATGTTAATAATAACAAACTAAATTTTATATCCTATAATTCTGGGTCAATTTATGTAAATATTTTTTAATATTTACTTAAACATTTTTAATTTATTCATAAAAATTTACCAAATTATTGATTTTGGTTTCTAACTTAATTATTTTCAATAAAAATCTTATGGAACATATATTTAATTTCTAATATATTTTGATGGAATAATTTTTAATATATACTTTAATCTAATCCTAACATCTTTTTTTCTTGGATATTTAATTTCTAATAAAAACATTTTTCTCTATTTTTTTTTTAATCTTTTACGTAGCATGAATTTTAGCCCTTGCTAACATAATAATTTCCTCAATACATTGGCAAAGGTTTTACCATTGTTAATGGAAGCAACTCCCTTCCCTTCTACCCTTTTATTTTCATCTCTTGAACCTCTATGCTCTATTTACCAAAAGTTATTGAAAATTTTTTAGCTTCGTATTTGAACAAAAATATAGCAACCAACTATATAACAAGCCAGGAAGAAATATAAGAGACTAAGAACGATTTAATCATAAAATATATTATTAGAGATGACAACAGGTCGGATCGGGTTGAATTTTTGCTCATCTCGAATCCTATTTGATTTTACACCCGTCAAATCCAAATCTGATTCGATATTGTATAAATCGTATCTGATCCGATCTAAAATTAATAAAATATTATTTTTTAAAATATAAAATATTATTTTTAAATATAAATATTTAAATATATAATTATATAAATATAAATAAAAAATTATTTTAAAAATTATTTTTATATAATATCGAGTCGGATCGAGTCGAGCTTATCTAAAACCCAAACCCGACACTCCCTTAACGTTACCCGATCCGACCCAAAATCCGATTTAAAAAAAAAAGATCGACCCTATAAAATCGAATCGAAATCTACTAGGGACGGATTGGGTTGTCCACCCTATATACTATGTTCTTGAGAACTTTCTAATCAGACTTACAAGTAGAACCTAAGAACTCAGTATCTTTGAGTACATATTCTCTTGATACCTAAGAACAGCATTTTTTTTGTCTGCAAATCTTATCCAAATACTACTAAATAATACAAAAGTGAAATAGAAATAGAACAATGTAACATCAACCTCTTTGGCAGATTGTAAGGCACAAAGTAATTTGTTTAATGAGATGATGTTAACAATAAAGAAGTTTTTTTTTTCCTTTAAATTATAGCTTTTCAAGATGATGATAAGACAATCTATTGAAGCCAACATCATGTTGGAAGTATCAGTCATAAGTAAATATTCGGATTAGGTGGTTTAATGGCAGCTGCAATGGTCGTTTGAGGGTTTGAGTTTAACCCTACAATGGCTGCAGTTTCAACTATATCATTCACGTTGAATACTCTAAGGACTTGCTTCAGCAATACGAGCTGCCTAGAACTTTGGGTGGGATCAACCTTCCAATGGGGGCACTTCCACATCTTGGATGGCTGTCAGCTTTGCTTTACCACCATACTCGATTGGCACAACTTCTTCACCTATCTCCTCTATAAAGGATTTCTTCTCATCGTCATTGGTCACAATTGCAATCTGCATTCATTGTTGCAAAACAAGCCAACTAAATTCCATGTCGAGCATAATAGACAAGCCAAGTTAGGCAGTCAGGCATGTTGAACCCAATTTTTTTTTATACGTAGCAAACCGCAGCCTGAGAATAGAGAGGTTACAAATGCTGGGATTAGAACTATAGACTTGCTGGATGCTACCTCTTAAAGGTGGCTGCATGAATCAACTGAGTTAAGCTCCAAGTTTTGTTAATCTCAAATTTTCAGGCATAAAGATGCACAAAGTTCCATGTTGCAAACATATATCCACAGCCATTAAGTAATAATAATGCATTGGTGCCAGTATGCTTATTACCTATCTTAGGAGTTAAGCCTTCTGGTAAGATTCTAAAACACCACCATTTAAGAAAAATAGTGAATACCTTTTCCAGTGTTGCCTTCTCAATGAAGTGAGAAACCATCCTCCACATACTAACAAAAACCGTGGCATATGCAAAATGTAGCACTTTGCTAAGCGCTCTGGGAAATATGCCTGCATGAAGTGAAGATTAGAACTAACTAACAGTGAAAATAAAGGCATTAAGTACCAAACCGCATGTATTTGTATCATCTCGTGTCAAATACGTGTAAAACACAAAAAATGCCATGTCAAATACATGTCAACATACCAAACACAAAACATCTTTTTTCTTTTTTTGGTTTTTTTCCAAACTCATATAATTTTTACTAAAATTTTAAACCACATTGCTCTTGTATCTTCTTTCATATCGTTTTCATGTTGTGTTATCGTGTCGCGTTTAAAATTGTAAATTCACTTTATTATTAGTCAGAATTTAGGAGAGAAAAGTAGAATTCTTCCCTTATTATTTAATTCCTTAACTAGATAAAGAAAATAGCCTAATCCCTTTGGAAAATGTTTAGAAAAGAACAAGAAGCAGGGTAGAGATACGAAGGGCAGTCAGGATAAGAATTCTGAGACAAAATGGCCTAATTCTTTATCTCAAAGAATGCTACAAACAGATTCTAAAACATGGCCTCATGATCAGATTATAACACTAAATCAACCAGAAGATAGGTATCATGCATTAGTATGTCATTTATTAAGATCCTGCCTACTACTGTGTTATTTGTTTCCAAGACAGAAGCAAACATCTTTAGTAAGATTCTGCTTACTAGGATTTTATTCCGCACATATATCATACATTGCATGCCATACAGCCTGAGATTTATATTTTACCTTTCACCTGAAAATAATAAATCTATGGGTGGAGGAATCAGTTTTCTATGAAGTCAACTCCACACTCAGGGCTCGTTTCCGCATTTCTTTAGGATATGTCTCACTTTTTCCCTTTGTATGGATTAAGGATGACAAGTGCAAACAACCAAACTCTTCAAACCAGTATACAAGTTACCATTAATATTAACATAAGCCACAAATTATTATTCTTTTGAACATACTTGAGAAAACAAAGCATTACCTGTAAGAACTGAAATCTGGTTATTAATCCACGTGCATCAACATTTTTGTATGTAACTTGTTGAAGATCAAGAATGCCAATCAACTTTTCATCTCCTATTTCTCTTCCTTTCACGGAGCTGAAATAGGGACAATTCACTAAGTTAAAAAATATAATAATAAAGCAAATAAGCAGCATCAAATATATGAATATATGAGCTCTGGAGCTTGTATTCCAAAAAAAACTTATTTTGGTTTTTTTTTCTTTTTTGGTTTTTTACTAAAGAAATATTCTTCATGTGTAGAACAGAGTACTACCTTGCTATGGCTTTGTCTAGCATATATACCACGAACTCTGCATCAAGAGATGGACAAAGTTAATCAAATTTCACAAGCTGGCTACTGTTATGAGCATGTAATGAGAGAATCAATTTCGAAAAATTCTACAATTTTGGTACTAAAAGGGTCATTGGCAGAAGGATAATGCATGTAACTGTGTAATGTAGGCTTAGCACATTAGTGGAGATTTCTGGTCTCATCAACCAAAGAAGGTCATAGTAAAACTTCTAATTACAGAAGGGCATATGCTAGGAAAGAAGCATATCATCTTATGAAGTCACGCATACACAACAGAAGCTGCATGATACCGGCCATAAATTGTCATACTCAGTTACTCACCCACTTGTAGCAAAGTCAGATATACAACTTTATTAAATCTTCTGTTCCTTAAGAATTGAACACCGACCTATTTATCAGTGAGATGGTACTCAGCCATTTAATTTTAAAGATTGTTCATTATGGACTTAAAATTCCAGGTTTTGTTTCGACTCTCAAGTCATTACTAAGACTAAAGTAGTTGAACTATGCTTGAATAGACTGTAACAAAGAGGTCTCAAAGATATGTAAAGAATAAAATTTTGCAACATAAAAAAAGATAAAAGGAAACTTGTTAGCAACAAAATACAAACATTACATAACATGAAAATATAATCTTGAATAAGCTTCATTGTAGTATCTTCTAATTTCGTAATAATTCAGAAAGTTTATGTGAAAATATAGTGATACTTTAAACTTCAGAGGCCATAGGTTCAACTCCCTTAAAGGACATTTATGAGTTATACCTAAAATAATAAACAGGATTTATGA